GATATATAGTTTGCAACATTTACCATAATCTACATGAAATAGACAAAAAAATATTGAAAGCAAATAACAAACCCTTCAAAATGTTAATTAGCGTCGGTATTTTTAGATGGCACCGTTACTCCCGTCAACAGTTCGATTCTTATCATCTCTCTAAGTTATCGAATGATCGCGTATTTTAATGAATTGAAACACCATCGCCATTTAATAATTGAATTTAAAATGTGATAATCGAGACTTTGTTTATTATTGTAACAATGGTACTTGACAGTCGAGACTATATTGTTGACGCTTTAAAGGCTGATAATTTCGCTCAGAATAATGTAATTTGACAGAAATAATATATCTATATATATTATTTTTTGCATTATCTATATTTAAACTGTTGTATCAAAAACGACTAGCTCTTTATCTAAATCATACATAATGCATGTTTACATACACAAGTGCAATGGCATTTAAACATGTACAAGTTTAAAACGAATTCTATAATTAATTGGCAAACAGCGACAAGTTTAATGTGTGCAGTACACGACTAGGGTGACCTACTAAAAGAGAGTTAAGATGCTCCTTTGATGCTTCCTCTGAAATACATTTACATTTTAGAGCAATATTTCGTCAATTCCTATAACAAGATTTCGACACATTATTTATTTGACATCCTATACTCATTCAGCTGCAGACGACAGCGCCTGCATTACGACGCTGTTGGGTATCTCTTATCAAAACATTTATATATATTCGGAATGTCATATTTAATTTTATTGTAGTTTAATTTTTGGACGTTGTTGGCTTATCAATTTTTTATTATCACCTGGGCCCTGTTTCTCGAAATCTTAACTAAAGATAAAATCCACATTTTAGTAGATACTTCAATTTTGATTGGCTAAGCACTAAAATCAATATAATATTATCCAATCAAATTACTAAAATTTGGATTTGATCTTAGTTAAAATTTCGTGAAACAGGCCCCAATGCAACAATCTAACAAGGTTTTGGATGGGTTAAAGGTGAAGAAGTCGGGAAGATAAAGACAACTGTGTATCAACCACATCAACCACATGCGATGCTGTCTTCTTTTAATAAATCAGCCTAATGTAGGCCCATAAGCACAATATTTACAGATTTCAAATGGTAAAATCAGCATTAGGAAATTAAACCGATATTGCTTCCACCAATGACGACTTGAATTACTCGGTTCTGTTCGAGCATTAGTGGAACAATCAGAGATATTTAATCTTAAAACCCCTCAAAAAGGCTACAATATAGCATTGCTATCCAATAGTACATTGTAAGATGTAATACATCTTCTTATTTTTCTTGATCAAAGGATGCACCAATGATCTCTAGGGTTAAATATATTGATCAAAGTTTAAAACTTTCAGAATTATTTTTAAATTTCAAAACAGATAGGGATGCGACAACATTCACTCTCATCAAAACATGGGTTATAAAGATTAACTCTAGACATAATAATCACAACGGCAAATATGTGCTGATAAATTTCACTGGGATGTTGCCAACTTCAACTTTAATTGTTTATACATAGCCTATGGTGGTGTAAAGTTAGCCATGACACGTAAACAGTAAGACAATTGATTTTAGCACAATCGCAGCGTCCACAGATTTTTCATATGTTATAGAAATCGTTGAACAGATTCCAAATATAATTTAACGTAGAGATCTTTGCTATTGTTGATCGGAAACCACGATTTGAAAAGACTATTGTTATTCCTGACGTAAGTAGAGAGTGGTAACAGACGGGTTTCAGCACTCTGATAATTCCTCTGAAGAAAAACAATTGGAATAGGAGACAGGGACAGAAAATCACAGTCCACATGGTAAAGGTTACTATAAGTAAACTAGAAATATCAATGTCCTTCTGGTCATTAAACGTGCAGGCATATATATATATCCATAATATATAAGGTAAAATATTTCCCATTAGCGGGTTCTAATTAGCGAAACTAGATTTGCTAATTCATTAGCATTGTTAACAGCAGTTATTTAATATATGTGGACACTATATTATGATATCCTGCAAGTTTTTGTCAGTTTCTACCCGTTCACTTTTTTGTATAGCCATCTGTATTTTAGCTTTCGGGTTTTAAAAAAATACATTATAACAATTGATGTGGTCACCCGCGTCCTTCGGTTCGTCCACCTTTTTTTGTGAAAGTGAAAATGCGTAATATTTTAGATCTCAAATTTCAGAGATATCACCAGTTGCGTACGGAACGAAATCTTGTAAATTCAGTGGGATTGTTCTTTGGGTTACAAGGAAGAGCCTTGCCGAATTTCAAAAGTGTCAAGATTCAAGGCATATTATATATATGTTGACTTTTAAAGCTGGTCAACGCGATACAGGACATGTTCTCTGTGGAAGTTTAATAGAACCCGATTGATCTTCAGAATATTTCGACAGTAAAATTCTTTGTTATGTAACCGTTTATGTTCCGCTTTATGAAATCTTGTGAACGCATATTTTTTTTGTGGAATAGTTAAAACACGGTGAGATTGTTCATAAAGAAATACGGAAGAACTCTATCAAATTTCTCATCGTATATTTCGAACGCATTTTACGGCTTAATCTGCCCATTATCATTTTCAATTTTAAAGCTCGTGTGATACAGGCTAACGTTTTCGTCAGAAATTTTAAAATATGCGGCGGGTTTTTTAGGCATAAAATATTTCGATCAAAAGGTAATCTTCTCTTGTAATTCAAATTAGTGAACTCTTTCAAAATGAACAATATTCCGGCAATGAATCATGGAGTCTTGGTTTTAAAACCGGATCAACAAGATTAGTTGATATTGTCTTGAGGGCTAGTAGATAATAAACCCTGGATAACCCCAGTCTGTGTTGTCTTTTATTTGACGAATAGAAATACTTGAACTACAAATGTAGTTTGTTTTATAGGTTTTATACTAGTTTTATGGGTCCTGTCGAACCCCAATATCTTAGAAATACAACATTTTAGATCTAAGGTATTTTAATCTACAATAACCTACATCTATTAAATGAACATCGGAATATTATTAGTTTTTTTTTTCAAAACCATTTAATTTGACTATTTCTTTGTTACACCATTCGATATGTATGTATAGTAGAAACATGACTCTTCATTCAGAAACGTTGTCACTGTGAATTTGTTGTCTCAAGGCGAGTATCTGAAAAATTTGTAGGCTGAAATGTCCTTACATTATTTTCATAGACGATAAAACTGGAAGGTTAAAATGGTTTTCTTTTGTTTTCTCAAGAATTGAACGGAGATGATAAATAATTTGAGTTATTTGCATTATGAGATAATGTACGTAAAGCTGAATGTATTTATAAGATAGTCTTCGGGGAACATATTTTCACAGTTTATCCCGTGTAAGAGTCCATTCTTCGTGATTATCTACATTATCACATTTCAATCCTTTACAAATATCTAAAATCTTTGTGTTGTATCTTTTACGAAGAGAATCATGTTTAGCATAAACTATCAACTCCTCCAGGACGCATTGCTGTAATCTCTGGCGTCAGATGCCTAAACCGTCACATTTTGTAATGGTGCCCCCATGTCTATAATGTTTAGAAGACAATACCAACATAACGGCAATGAAATTTCCCTAGACAATAGCCATTAGATACATTTATTGGCTGTAAGGGCAATTGCGTGGGATACCAGAAACACGTGATGGATTATACAGAGCCATATAAACAAAGCCAATTCAGCAATTAGCATCATCCATTTAATCCAAGGCACTGGCGCTTCGACCACTGGCCATGTTAGAATTAAGTGTAAATGGAGTTTCTAGATTCAAAGGTTTCGATTGTTTTCTCCCGGGGTTTTGTAGTATGGCCAATTTCCGAGTTTTGATTTTTCTTGATCCCTACTAAAAATATCATACCTTCTGACACCATTAAATTTAGTGGGAACATAAGACCAAAATATGCCCGAGGGAACATAATTATCTTTAAATATATACACATAAAAAACAAAATATCATGCAGGTTATATCAGTTTGGGCTAAAATTAAAGGATATGCGATCCCAAAGTTATTAACATAGACAGACACGATTGTTAAAGGAGCCAAGTCTTTAACTCAGTATCATCCACAGTCTTCGAGTAAGAAACCGAACCAAGCCGAGTACAAAGTCAAACGGTAACACTTATTACATTTATTAAACTTAAACAACACAAAAGAACACGCTTTAATTTACTTCTTATTCTGCGTCATTGATTTTAAAAAAATATGCCTGGGTTGCTTGAATGTCGATATATTTCTTGTTTTTCTTTTAGAAAATGCCTTCAAATGAAACATTGCAAGATTAATTACAAATGACATTCTCAAAGTGTTATTCATTCATGAATCTGAAATTTTGTTAATGTAAATAAACCGTTAGACGGATCGGATAAATGTATTATTTTCTCTGGTTATACACATTTGTAGTATTTACATCAAAATAAATTGTTCCGAGTCAGACAATGTAATTGTGTTTTCATGCAAGGATACATTTGTTTACTTTATAAAGAAGAAAACTTGATAATGATAAAGTATCTACTTTCTAGTTTTAGGTTGGGATTTGAACAAAGCTTTTAATAGGAGGCATTATGATAATAACTCTTCGTCCATTTGAACCATTCGTCTTGAACCAGATTCCAGTCGCCCCTATAGTTCTCATTATTATCTATTTGTTGTTAACATAGAGAAACGGAAGGTCCATCTCCTTTAATACTGAATTATGGCGGAAGCCTAACTTAATAGGTTTAACAGACTTGTGTTGTTTTACACGACCTTGGAAATAATCACCGGTAAACCTTTAGAAAAACGTCTGGGCGTTAAGGGGATTAACCGTGAAAGTATACCATTCTAAGGTTCAAAAGTATGACAACAATAAATTGATAATCATACAAATCGGAATATCTCGATAAATATTAGAACCAATACCAAAATAATGCTTCAGTGTTAAAAACTGTTCGTGTGATATTAATACCTTTCCCATTCTATTTTCAGGTAAGCAGTGGATGGGATATTAACAAACATGGACGGTCCTATCCTCTCCATGGGGCCATCCAACTACGTGAAATATGATAGCACAGAAACCTTGGTTACCGAACTGACAGACTGCGATTTTGACGACATTCGTCCACCATCGAATATGACTCAATGTGATGTGAAGAATAACTTAGGCTACAGACTGAGAAGAAGAAGGGAAGTTCTAACGCAGAGAAAGTGTATTGTGGATATCAGTTTCGTTTTGGGAGTGTTGGGTATCGTGCTTGTGATAATAGACACGGAACTCATCTTAGGTGGTACAATTCACGCCGATTCTCCAGTATCTACAGCGTTACGTGTATTTACCTCTATATCAACCAGTTGTTTAATGCTTTCAATCGTGGCCTATCATGTGACCGGATTAAGACTATATATGGCCAGCGCCGGTTTTGAAGATTGGCGATTGGCCATGACGGCTACTAAATGGTTTAAATTAAGCCTAGAACTCCTGGTCTGTTTCATTCATCCTTTGCCTTTCTTAAACGTATATATACCAACAATTTCAGTCGTAACTAATTCTGACAACGGAAGTATATTGACAGCTCGTATAATTCCCATTAATGCTATTTTAACAATTTTGATGTTTCTTCGGCTATACCTCTTTGGGCGTTTCGTTGTGGTACACAGTAATTTATTTTTAGATACCTCAGTGCAAAGTCTCGGCGCACTTAGTCGCGTCAAAATTAATGCCCAGTTTGTATTCAGGGCGTTAATGTCTTCTACACCCGGCATTGTACTTACCACGGTTATGTTAGCAACCTTTATGATAAATTCTTGGAACATAAGATTGTGTGAGGTGTATACCGATCCAAACAGCGAACTCGGCGAATTTACTCAGGCTATGTGGTTAACTGCTGTAACCTTTCTAACAGTGGGTTATGGAGACCTAATTCCGCGAAGTTATTGTGGTCGGTTGATAGCCGGATCAACGGGACTAATGGGTGTTGGCATAATGGCATTGTCTGTCGCCGTATTGGCCAAAAAATTAGAACAATCTAGATCAGAAAAATACATTCATACATTTGTGCAGCAAGTAGCTCTAGATAAGTGTCGAAAGAATGCTGCAGCCAATGTTGTGAAACAAGCTATGTTTATTTGGAGGTTGAAACGAAGAGGGCCGTGTCGGACGTCTGCATTATTGAAACATAAAAGTAAACTCCTCAGAGCTAAGCGCGCCATGCAGGAGGCACAGTTCACCAAGAGCCACCTTTCAGAATGCATGGTTGGTCCTGTCGAATTATCCACAGGACTAAATGATATGTATGGTATAGTCACCACGGTTAAAGATGACCAAAAAGTACTGGAACAAAGAATTGCTAACCTCGAAACTTTGGTAGTGAACATGAGTTGTCAATTACATGACGTCCGCGATATGCTAAGAAAAATGAAATAGTCTTCTGTATGGCATCATTATATACTGTTTACGAAATGTGAGAAAACAAGGTCAAATTATGCTGAATCGACATACTTGATGATTACATTAATAACTATTGTTATCGCGAACATTTGTGAACGCAAAAACTGGTGCAAATAGTGATTTGAATCAAGATACTAAACTGATCAAAACTCACAAAGGAACGAAAATGAAATGAACTTTCTCGGCCAATGCAGAGATCGAACACCCGACCCCCAGGCTAGCGAGCCAGCGTCTTACCCACTTAGCCACAACATTGTTACCCACAAAGGAACGAATACATACAAGACTTACCCTATATAAGTACTACGATGCTGTTTTCGTTTTCAAATGTATTTTTGTATAAATATTTAGATTTATTTTAGCACTATGACGACGGCGATTTATTGAGCATTGCATCATTGATAATTTATGTTGAATTCCCGGGCTATTCATAGGAAACTATTCATTCTTATATCTGTCTTCATTTTGCAGGTTGTTTTCTTTACCTGCGTTAGGTTCAGTCACGGGTACATATATAAATGTAGTATATACAACGTTCACCACTAGTTCTGCGTCATGTCGGCCTATATATTGCATTATTTTCTTATTAAATTTAATGCAAGGCTTTGTTTTTGTTATCAGTTTATGTAGATACACGATTTGTGATATTGATATTCGTTTGTTGATCTTATGTACCTCGAACGGTATGACATGCTCTATAAAATTTAAAAGATAAGATTAGTGTGTGTACGTTTTATTTAATTAATAGTCGAAGGCTTTGTTGGTGTAAAATCGGAATTAAAAATATATTTTCGAAGAATTTTGGCATATGATAATAGATAAAGTATCCAGTATTTAAAGTAAAGCTAATAAAATTAGGCCCCGAGTTCACAAAGCATTCTCAGACTTAAGTTAAGAATTTCCTCAACTTTCAATCACTTTTTATGAGAAATATCTTTGATCCAGAAATACTAAAATTTGCACATAGTTTTCTTATTGATGTATTTGATACATTAAAACAACAAAACGTTTTATAAAGGACTGTAATATTTTAGTTTAAATAAGACGAACGATTTTGAGTAAATTCTTAACTTAAGTCTGAGAATGCTTTGTGAACTCGGGGCCAGGACGTCATCCGACAATAAACATAATTGTAAGAATTGTAGACCTGTTTTGTTAAGGAAAAGAAGCGAGAAAAGAGAGGCAGGATGGGTCGATGGAATTTCTCTTCATCATACCAGTATTCTTGTAAATACAGAACGGAATTGAATCAGTTTTGGACATGAAACACTGCAATTAATACGTTCAGTAAATGATACCAGTATTATTATATATTATATTAACTAAATGCCTTATACTGATATTGGATGACCTATGGCCAACCCCCTTTTACATTTTAAGTAAATTAGGATGGTTAAAGTGCACATAAGATGGGCGAGAAAACTTTTCGGTACGTATAGCCAAAGATTACTATATCCACTTTATGGCAAGTTCACACCAATCTGATTAAAATTAATTGTTGTTGTTGTTTTTAACAGATTAAACGTCCAATACAATAAATATGATATTACGCACAGGTTGATTTAATTAAATTATTTACACTTGAAAATTGTTAAAAACACAAAATAAAAAAGTCCTCGGATATCAAAAGTTTCTTAAAATACACTTATAAATTCGCTGTCGTGAGAAGAGAGGGCGGGTCATCTTCTCCCTTGTCATAATAAAGTTAAAATAGGAGGTCCAGCTGACTGATGTTTGGCGTCATCAGAGCGCATAGAAAAAAAACCCGTGGCGAAAAAGAATCCACAGGCTTTATGTGGAAAAGCGAAGTGCTCGCAGTAAAAACCACATAGCTGGACCCGTAGATTATTTGCATATTAAAGGTGTTCATCCAATAAGTTCCATATGGTTAAAATTAGTTAAAAGTTCAAGACTTCGAAGTTTAAAAGTTACCTGAAAAGAAAAGAAGAGCCAACAGCAACACCCAAAAATAACAATAAAACAAATTGAACCATTTATAGGACAAGATAAAGGGAGAGGGGTTTAATATAGGTTATGCCTGTTCCCCAATCCCTATTCAGATACAAATCTGAATAAAATATTGCTTATAAAAAAAGATGAATTTTTAAACATGGGTAAGATTAAATTGACTGATGTGTACTGTCATTGTTAATAATGGTTGTGTAGGTCAATATTCCTTTATTGTGTCATTATTTTTAATCATGCAGTAGACTGAACCGCCATACTGTCCTACAATAACAGTGCCTTTCTTTGTAACTAGATATGTAGCTCCCTATCTTAATGTTAATTTATTCTGATATTATTAAAGCATCGAGGTGGCTTAGGGGCCAACCTGATCTACACAACCAGTTATCTTTCCTTGACTAGTAGTTTATTCTCGATTCCCCGAGGGGGGAAGAGTATATTTTGGAGGGTATATTGAAGTTTGGCATCGTCCATTAAACTTCGTACAGGGAATCTTTTCTCTTCCAACTTATTGACATGATTAACGGTCAAATTGTGGCCACATTCGCACTTCACTGGGTTAAATTTATGGTCGGTAATTAAATCCTTAGTTCTTAATCCTGTGATTAAGCCACAAATTTTGCACGATGGGTGATTGCTCTCCGTATTTACAACCAGATCGTTGTTTAAACTGAATCTAAAAGTATTGGTCTCGCCAACTCAATTTTCCATTCTGATTTTGACGATGCTATTAAATTCCTGAACGCTATATTTTAGGTATATATATTCGTTCTCGCAGAGGCCGAGTCCTTTGCGAGCCAGATTATCTGCGGACACATTGCCTGCTATGCCAACATGGGATGGTATTCATGCAAATTCTACAGTTTTATTTTTGTTTCGGGGGGAATAAACACTTGCTCGAATATTCTGAATAATGTCTGGCCAAGGTGGTTTTTTGTCATGTATTATTAACTTTATGCTGCTAACAGCTCCACCTTTTCGTTATTTGTCATGGCTGATTGGGATTCATAATTAAGCGTATAAATATTTATAGAAAAAACTTTTGCCACTTATTGCGTGTATTTTTTTTCCAGACATTTGAAATTTTAGTTTTATCATAAGTACTATCACAGAATGCCATCCAATGATTTTCTTTTGCCTCTGAAATTACTTGTCTTGCGTTTGCATCGCACTGAGTATACAAAGATTTATTCTCTGCGGACCATATGCGGAATAGTTTTTTAAGTGATTTTTTCCTTGCATTTACGGCTGTTTGACATTCTGGGGGCCACTAATGTGTGAAATAGCTTTCTTTAACCTCCGCTTCCAACGAGGTCATATCGCAGACAATTACATGTTATATAAACATAGTGAGATATTTACAAGGTGATTAGTGGAAAAAGGATAATTAGATTTATATATATATATACTATTCAAAAAAAGTAGGGGATATTTGATTTTGGGGGCATAATACTAAAATATGCAAATGACTACGAAAAAAGTCACTATAGAACCTAACAGAAGAAACATTTCCAGTTACATGTGACGCCCAAACGCACCAATAGCTACCGCATGGAATGCAGGTGATGCTTGGGATCATCATGGGGGTCCAACCCAAGATTTGCACGACTCTGACTTTGAATGTTACAGTCATTGTGGCATTGAATTCCAGGGTGGAAACATCAGTTTAATTGTTTTAGTGACCAGAAAACAAATTTTGATATGCGTCGGCTTACCCAAAATGAAAGGTTACGTGCCCTTGGCATGCTACAGATCGGCACAACACAGGCGGTTGTGGCGCGGACGATGAATGTTTCTCAGTCTGTCATAAGCAGGCTATGGTCCAGATACCGTGATACACAATCTGTACAGGACAGACCACGCTCAGGTCGACCAAGGGCGACAACTCAAGCCCAGGATCGATTTATCCGTACCTTGGCCTTGAGAAATCGTGTCATCACAGCAAATCAGATCAGCGCTCGTCTTCAAACAGACACTGGTGTGAGAGTGAGTGGCCAGACGATTCGGAATCGACTGCATAGGGGTCACCTTCGCGCCCGACGTCCTCGCGTGATCCCTTGTTTGAGAGATCATCACATTCAGGCAAGACGTCGTTGGTGTAGGGATCGTCAACACTGGGATAATCGACGCTGGAGCAATGTGATGTTTTCAGATGAGTCAAGGTTCACTGTTGATTTTTTGGACAGACGTAGGAGGGTGTGGCGTCGTCGAAACGAGCGCTTCCAAGACGTTAACGTCATCAGACATGATCGATTTGGGGGTGGTTCTGTTATGGTGTGGGGAGGCATCACTGTTGCTGGAAGAACGGCTTTACATGTTGTTGCAGGGCGTGTTACAGGCCAGTACTACCGGGACAACATCTTGGCAGTCCATGTTGTGCCGTTCGCACGATATCATGGCCGCCGTTTCATCTTCCAGGATGACAACGCAAGATGTCACAGGGCCAGGATCGTTACAGGTTACCTCCAACAACAGAACATCACCACATTACCTTGGCCAGCACTGAGTCCCGACCTCTCCCCCATCGAGCATGTCTGGGACATGCTTGGACAGAGGTTACGTCAACGTCAACAACGTCCTGCCAATGTCCAAGAACTTGCTGCTGCGTTGCAACAGGAATGGGACAATCTGGACCAAAATGACCTTAGACGTCTCATTAGGAGTATGCCACGTCGGATCAATGCTTGTTTGGCAAACAGAGGAGGATTTACCCGTTACTGACTTGGTTGTGATGCTGTGGTAACTTTGCTGTTTGACCCCGGGTATCATTTTACCCTTATAATGGTCAGTCTGTGCCTTACTTAGTCTAACGATCATTTGGAATAAATCGATGAATGTGAACTTCATTTCATTTTGTCATTTGTTTCTTCGTCAGTTTGACCCCGGGTATCATTTTACCCTTATAATGGTCAGTCTGTGCCTTACTTAGTCTAACGATCATTTGGAATAAATCGATGAATGTGAACTTCATTTCATTTTGTCATTTGTTTCTTCGTCAGTTTCATTAGGTGACTTTAATAACACTTTAAAATCAAATATCCCCTACTTTTTTTGAATATATAAATAGTGCAGCTTTACGGTTGTGCTAATATTTCTGGATATAGATATATATATATAACATATATATATATATATATATATGTGTGTGTGGGTGTGTGGGTGTGTGTGTGTGTGTGTATAGAAGACAATAGGTAACAGGACAAGACATGAGATAACAGGTGCAAAGAATAAAGAAGTGCTTGTAGACATTGACAAACAGACGAATTTGTGACAAAACATACACGAATATTGGCGAACATTTAGACAAGGACAAACATTTACAGACATGCACGCAATACGGACATTTGACAAAACAGACATAAATTTGGACGAACATTTAGACATAGTATGTACATATATATATATTGGTCGTTTTCGTCGTTCTGGTAGATTTGTCCGGTTGAATGGCAGGGCGGTGCAACTCATCCTTGGGGCTTGTTGGTGAGTGTGTGGCCTGGTCCATTCTTTCTTCCATTTGGTTTTGTTGTCCGGTATGGTGGTTGGTGTCTTTATTTCTTGTGTTCATTCCTTTGTTGTTGGTTCTCTGAAGGAAGAATCCAGCACCTAGGGGAAAAAAGAAAAAAGAGAGTATCTGGTCTTATATTGATTTGGGGTTTTCATTTCGTCTTTCAAGGCTTCAGTACGGGTGGTGGTGGGTGTGGGGTCATTATAAACAAATAATAAGAATAATAAACGTAGAAAAAGAAATTACTCAATGAATTATAAACAAATAATAAGAATAATAAATGGAAGAAGATAAATTACTCAAGAATTGCATTTGTGGCAAGTTAATATAATCTACAGTCAATATTTATTAAGAGATGATAAAATACAATAATGCATATATGATAACTTAATATGATCTACAATCAATACTTATTTAGTCCAAAAGAGATAATTTATGTCGCCGAGTTTCAGGGTGGGTTGCGTTACCCTCTATAGAACATTTTTACGCTAACACCCTGATTCATTAGTTTAAAGTTTTATTAGTGGTGTAGGACGGGTGGCGTTTCCCTCTAGGGGATGTTTTTGCACTCCGCCCTACTGGGTTTATTTTAATTCGTTAATTTTATCATAGTTTTATTTGTATTGTAGGGCGATTGGCGCTACCCTCTAGGGGTCATTTTTGCGCTTCGCCCTACTGGGCGTGTTTTAATTGATTAGTTTTATTATATGTGTTTGGTCATACCTATATTCTCAATGAAATCCCAGACAAGCTGAGATGTCCAGTATCTATCTTCAGGCTGTGGAGAAAGGAGAGAGTTGAGACAGAGGGGTTTTCCCCTCTCTATCAGTTTGTCAATCATTGATTGACGTTCTTTGTTTAATTGATTACAGTTGATTAGTAGGTGTGAGGTGGTAGCAATTTGTCAACATGGGCATTTAATTGGTGTGTATATGTAGTCTCTATCTACATCTCTTGTTTTAAGCCTCGTGATGAGTTTGCATATTTTGATTGTTCGTTTCCCAAGATATTGACATTACAGTTGATTAGTAGGTGTGAGGTGGTAGCAATTTGTCAACATGGGCATTTAATTGGTGTGTATATGTAGTCTCTATCTACATCTCTTGTTTTAAGCCTCGTGATGAGTTTGCATATTTTGATTGTTCGTTTCCCAAGATATTGACATGAGAAGGGATCCATGCAAGGATCACCTCCCTCCCACTGTTTTTTTTGTTTGAATGATGTCCCTGACTTTATGGATTATGATTTGCCTGTTTTTTGAGAACTTTGATTCTATAGTTTTAATGCTACTCAGGGAGTCAGACAGGATTACGGCTTTTTGGTGTGTTTGCGTAGCTAGCCATTCCAGTGCAGTTTTGATGGCCATCAGTTCCGTGGTGTACACAGAACAGTGTTCTGGTAGCCTTTTCCTGATGTTCAGCTTTACTTTGGGTATGTATATGCCGTATCCTGTTGATCCCTTTGTAGAGTCTTTTGATCCATCTGT